AAAGAGTGTGCCCTTGTGAATGAATCCGTGCTAAACAGAGAATCTATATCTTTCATTTCAAGCTCAGATTGATAAATGCCAATGTATGTAAAAGGAAATACTTACAAATTTTTAGAACAGTGTAAATGCTGTGTCTTTATTAGTCTTCACGAAGGCCCCGTGAGGAGCGAGATGTATCACAGTGTGAGAGTGTAGCTTCAACTGTATCAGCTCAGGAGGATGAAGATATTGAAGCATCTAATGAAGAAGAGAATCCAGAAGACAGTGAAGGTAACTTTTCTGGGAAGGAAACTTGTGTATGCACAGAAAGGGATGTATGTTTTGTGCCAATTACATGCTCAGAAAGCTGTGTTCCACTTCATAACGTAGTGCTCAAATACTACGTTCAGTTAGACTTCAGCAATTGGAACTCACTTCACTAGGTGTAGCTGGAGGGGAAAAAGCATTTTTAGTATTGAGCAGCCTTAAGTTGTTATTGCTTAGTATTATGATATGCTTTGACTATGCTATCTTCTAGAGGATAAACTGACAGCACCTGGTCAAAAAATTGTTCATGTTGAAACAAGTTCAATCAAAGATATGTAACCTTTGCTGGTTAATAGTCTCAGTAAAGCTTCAGACAGGCAAATTTAAGTGGTAGGTTTTTTTTAAATGCGTTGGTTGTAACTGCTAATAATTATAGACACTCAACATCAGTCAGTCTTGGCCAGCCTTTTGTGAAGCTGTAAGCAGTAGAATTCATAAACGATGAATCAGGGAACATGGCTAAGTGTTGGCGATGTTGGGTTTTGATTGGGTTTTGTTTTACACTGCAGCATGTGTGTAATTCAGCAAATTGTCCGCTTCTACAATAAGTCAAAATTAATTACTTGTTTTACAGATGGGTTGGTTAAAATTGATAGATCCTTATTGCATCCATTTGCTTGGCAAGCATTCTTAAAATATTTATGTAGTTCTAAGGAATGAAGATTCTTATCAGAAGATAAGATTTGAATATAACATCTGTGTTCTAGATGTTGCCATAGTTTTTCATAAATGTTTTTATTTATCTAAAAGCTATTTATAATATAATGGAGTTCATGAACTAGGCTAAAAAGAGGAGGAAGGTTCTTTACTGCAAGAATCAATACCCTTCTTTAATTGGTGTCCAGTTGTCGATGCTGTTTACACCTTTCACAGAGCAAAGAAGTAATTTTTGAGAAAATAATGGTAATGCACAAAGGAAGTAAACTCAGTTACCTTAGAGCAAGAATTGCAAGTCAGGATGTCTATAAAATGTGACTGATTTTCATGGAAAATCAGTGTTTTGACACTTCTGCTAGTGATGACTCCAAAACATGTTAATTTAAATCATTGAAGCTGTGCCTTAGGTACTGTAAATGTTGACTTCTATGGAAGTACCAAGTCTCTGACATGCAAAAGGGTTTACTTGTCTGGCTTTCTATAATATCAGAGTTAGCTAAGTAGTCTGATTTCTGTAATTCCGTAATTCATCATTAATGTGTATCTGCTGATTTTTGGTTACTCTCCCTCTGTGAGTCAATTCTTCAGGGCAATTGTCTTGTTGTGTTTTGGGACAGCAGACTTATGTTTGATTATTCTGAAGAAGCAGTTCATCAAAGCCTAGTTAGATTTCATTCACTTTGAACCTTTATGCCAAAACTTTTTTTTTCAGGTGCTGAAAATAGTTCAGATACAGAAAGTGCTCCATCTCCAACTCCAGCAGAACCTGCTAAACCAAGTGAAGAAACTCCATCTGAGAATGCTTCTTCGAAAGTAACCACTGAAGCGACAGCAGAACAAGAATCTACAATTAAACCTGCAGCCAGCACATCTCCCTCCTTAACAGCCCAAAGTGTATCAACAGCTGAAAGTCAGAACCCTGAGCCACAGGTTAAGGAAGAAATAAATAATGAGGCAGAAGAGCCTATGGAGGTTGACAGTAGAAGCCATATGGTTGAAGCAAAGCCTGTGATTACTCTTCCCGTGCATACCAAAGTAGAACCTGTAGAGACTGAAATGAGGCTACCAGAGAATATTCAAGTGAAAGTAGAGAGTGATACCAAAGAGAGAGAGATGGAGAAACCCAAGGAAAAGTCAGAACCAGAGGAAATGGACTATAGTCTGTCACAACAAGTTAATACAGCAAGACAAGAATCCCATTCAGATAATGATTCAAGTGCCACCTGTAGTGCTGATGAGGAAGTTGATGGAGAACCTGACAGACAAGGGTGAGTTTGTTTAGCTTTCAAATATTGACATCTTTAAGAAGTTGTTTAAAAAGTGGTTTTACTTAACAGTGATCCAAAAACTGTTCAGAAGGAAATGCTGATACAAAATTTTGATGAAAAGCCAAAAGAAGGGTCTGCTAAGGCAGGGTAAAGCAAAATTCTGTGGTGATAGACTGACTAGGTAGGTAGCAAACCAGTACAATTACCTGGAAAACTAGAGAATGAGGGAAATCAAGCCATTTGGGATCTGTTCAGAGAATGGGAATTGTGTTACTTATCTGGAAAGGACAGAGCTTACCAAAACAATGAAAATTTGCCAAAGCGAGAAAACAGATTCAAGATGCTCCTGGCATGAGTTTCTCTGATAATTAGCTCTGTGGTACTTCTGGTGGGGAGGAGATCTTGCTGCTGCAGGATTTTCTGATGCACAGCTGTTTAAGAATTGGTGACCAACTAAAAATATTAAGTAATGTGGGGAATTTTGTAAATGCCCCCATCTATCCACTAAGAAACTGAACACTGATTGTGTAACTGGATCTGTACTGAAGTTCTTTGCTTTCGTTTGGTTTTGTTAGTTTGTGGCTTTTACACAATATATACAAAGAAATTTACACATTCGGAAGTAGATTTGGAAAATTTTTAGTGTGATTGGTTAGTGTTGGATAGTACGTGGGCTCTCCGTTCTCTTTAGTGAAAACCTGTTTGAATGTAGAGCCAGACGTGTGGAGGTGGAGTTGTTTTAATTGATTCTTGCTCTCACAAACTCAGTTTAGTAGAACTCATCTAAACTCCTTGAATTTGACAGGGAAAACAGCTTGAATATATCTTTTAATAGGAGATGAAACTTGCTTTAAAAAACCCAATAATCTAGGGGCATAAAATACTGATATTTTGGTTACCTTTTAACATTTAACATTTATTTGCTTGTATAACTCTATCCTGTACCCAGTTACTGTCATTGAACCATGTTATATCAATCAGTAGAACTGAATCTCTTGAAGGCTATTAGTAATAGAGTAGTGGAAGTATTTCTTACTCTTACCAGTGTCTGTAAATTAATGGGCAAGTGTCCTGAGAAATGCATGATCTCTTTCTCCGCAGTATGCAATGTCTTCATGCAAATACTAGTTCCTGGGAACTTGGCCCTAAATGCTGTGGATAACCCACATGAGTATAAAGGGCTTTAAATGAACAATGCTGCATGTCTTTGGAACCATTTTCTCTTTTGGGGGATGGTTGACACTGCTGATGATATTTGAAGTCTTTTTAGTGTTCTGCTGGTGCAACTCCTCTGTAACCATAGCGTAGCATTGGAGCCCAATGCCCCCTCCCTCCCAGTGGTCTTAATATACACGCAGTACTGAGGATAGACGTTAAATGTCAAAAGTATCCAGTATCATTGTTCTGCATGTGCTCTTTGGAAGAGTGTAGTTGAAGGTATTTCTGCACTTCCTTGCCTCTTCAGACTTCATCTTTCCACTTCACAAACTTATTAGCCCTCCATGTGAAAGTAGTCTATTATATGCTACTGTTTATTTCCTGTGGCCTAGTATCTAGTGTTGCCTCTCTATTTTTTCAAAGCATTTTTTTTTATAACGATGGTTGCATTCTTGCAGTACTGTGCTTATAGAAACAGCATACATAAATTTCTGGTACTGGAGATTCTGAACACTTCTTCTGGTATTTCTGTGTGTTATAAAAATACAGCAGCATCTGTTGCTTATTCTACCAGATGTGCTGTGGGACAAAACACAATATAATTCTGATTTTTCAGCTATTTGTCCCGTGTGTTAAATACATGGGGGTTTTGAAGTTGAGAGGCATACTTTTGCCTGTAAACTTATTAAGATACTTAATCTTGGTCTTTTTTGGTGATATTTTTCCCTTCATTCTCTTTTTCCAGCATCTTCAGCAGGGAGTCAAAGCCTTCACTGTTAAATCCCACTGGGTCAATACTGGTATCATCCACAATAAAGCAAGGGCAGATGGACCTGCAACAACTTCACCACCGAGCTGCTGTCATACCACCTATGGTATGGGGTGTTCTAAGTGATGTTTGAAAGAGTATCTGTTGTCCCTAAAACTAGTCACAACACTGCAGTGGCAAAAAATACTGAAACAAATGAAGAAACTTGTAATTTGCTTTTTATCATAATACTGTTGAGGGGTTAAGTACAAACAAATATGCAATAGCTTAAAACCGGGTGTGGACCATTTGAAATGCTCATACATAGTCTACAGCCACTGCAGTGGAGGCATTGAGCAAGACAGTTACTTTAGTAAGTACCTGTATTGATGTACCTGATGTAGATACCTCCCCCTCCTTGCAGGTTTCTTGCAGTCCCTGTACTGTTCCTGTTGGAACACCAGTGAGTGGTTATGCACTCTATCAACGGCACATTAAAGCGATGCATGAGTCAGCGCTGCTGGAGGAGCAGCGCCAGAGGCAAGAGCAGCTGGATATGGAGTATCGAAGTGCTGTGAGCCCTTGTGGTGCTTCCAAGAGCCCTAATGTTGAGTGGGAAGGTAGGCGTTTTCACATCTGTCATGGAAATAACCCTGCATTTTATGTCTGCCTGTTCCACTGCTGCCTTGTTTAAGAATGAAAGTTTAGTGTACTGATAATTAATTACTGCTTTCTGATGGCACTTGATTGATGGAACCTGTCTACTGTACAGATCCTGCTGCAGTTACAGTGTTGGGAGAACTACATTGTAGCCAACTTAGATAAGGCAGGAAAACTGGCTTCATTTGAGTGAAATCCCAAAATGAGTTGTTTCTACAGAGAGAGATTTAGAAAGACTAAGTGTGCAGGTGAGAGGACCCAGATAAGTGCGTGTTCTGGGGGAGCCCTTTTCAGAAACTTAAGGTGAAGATGGGAGAGAATTGCTAAAGGAGTATGAGCACAATTAAGAGGGATGTTTTACTGCACTGGAGTATGTATATGGACATTGAGCCCTGGAGTAGGGCATAAAAGTATGGTAGAACTGTCATGCTTTAGCCTGCCTGTCTGCAGAGTGGCTGTGTGAAAGTTTCTTTCTCCTGGGAATAAGATGGTTGGTTCTTTCTGTATATAGAGAGGATACTTGGAGGCAGGGTTTGAACTGAATTCTGGGATCTGGGGACCTATGTTTCCTGAATGTGACTGTTAGTGCGATCTTCAGTACAGAACAAGGCTAAAACTGCTCACGGAACCTGCCAGGGTGACTAAATAAGGACATGTCTGTTACCGTTGCTGGTTACAGGAATGTGATTCAGATGATGTATGTTACATCAGCCAAATTGCTGTGTAAGAGCCAAAGGATACATTTATTACCTTCTCTCTGTGTATATTGGCTATATGTTTATTCTTTGAACTGAAATTATTTTAATTCTGTCAACAGCTTGCAAATTACAAACAGCTTAGCAGAAGATTGGTTTTTTTAATGCAAAGCATATCCTATGGGAGGCCCAGTTCTGTACTAAGTGTGTAACTTTTATCTCAACTTTTTTTACTAGAGAAGGAATAGGTCTGCAAACTGTACACGGCAACAGGGAAATAAACCGAGTGAGATTAATGTGCTGAATGTTACAATAATAGAGGTATCATCACAGTTGCAGAATTATGCATTTTTAGATGTTATATTCTCCTACTTTGTTTCTGTTGTCTCCACGGCATTAGCAACATAACTATCATGTTCTTTGAAACTCAAGTATTCTGTACTTAATATGCATAACAATTTTAAATTACGTTATGAAAATGCTCCACCTTAATTATTTTTACCTAAGTAAAATGAAAGAAACCTAACTGTTTTTTTTTTCCCCTGTTAAAATAGTGGGAAGGGAGCTTGTAGATTTGTGATGGGGAGGATAAGACTGTGGTTTTTGGAAGTTGCTTCTTTAGGTGGAGAGTCTGGGGTTGCTTAAAAGTACCATTTAACTGAAATAGTACCTGAATAACTCTTGGCATTGGCAGTACGGTATTATGAAGTGTGGGAAAGTTCTGGGGTGAAGTCTTTGCCAGCAAAAATCAAGGTGGTTATTGAGGCAGACAGAGAGGGAGGGAGGGATAACGTGGTTAACGTAAATGGTTTCTACAAGCCTGGACATCTTAATCTGCAAACAAGAAAGGGCTGAGGTGTCATCAGATCATTACAACAGCTACTTCTTAAGATACACTCTGCACATGACACTTGTCCACCAACTGCTATATGCAACAGAGAGCCCACAGACTGTTTAAAAACCTTGCATTGGAACACTGCCTGTGTTGTGGGGCACCTTGTCAAACTAAAGGGCCTATTATTGAATTGGCTTATGACAACCTACACAATACTTTACCGTGAAATACATAGTGAAGACCCTTTAGAAAGCTATTATGGGATGATTAGTGCCATGTTTCTCTGACTGTGGAGGTTAAAGATAACTTTACAGCTGCAGTAGACTTGTTTTGGCTCATAATCTTGAATACTTAAATTGTTCATTGCAAAAGAAAAGGAATTTCTGGAGTTCCTGTACTGGATTTTTAATTTCCTAAATTCAATAAAAATCTATTTTCCCTTTAAGCACCATTGATGGGCAATATTGGTATTTGAAATTTGATTTGTAACTTCTCTGGGCAAGCATACTAGGAAGGGAGGCTTTTTGTCTGGTGCGATGGGCATGTAAGTCTGGCTGAACTTGCATGTAAACCTGGCTGATGCACAGGATTTGGAAAGGCATCTTCTTTAAATGAAATATTTTTCAATAGTAGAGCTTTCACTTAAAGGACCTAAAGGATCCAGATACTGTTTTTCAGTATAGAAAGTATGAGAGAGTTTTTCAAAGCTTTGTACACAGAAGTATAAACATAAGAACATACCAAATTAAGCTGTACCTTAATATTACTTTTTGATTGAAACATTTGTACCTGATGAGTACATCTGACATAGCAGTGGGCCCTTTGTTAAAATTGTGCTGTAAACTGGACCTTTTGACTCTAATTTCTAATCAAGGGTTCTTTTCTTTCTGATAATTTTAACCTTCACAGGAAAACCGGTAGCCTATATGCCTTATGCTGATGTCAAGCGAGCAATAGAACAGGAAGCACAAGTGCAAAATACAGCAACAAGGTCAGCATCACCATACAGGCTATCTCCGAGAGAAGTCAATAAAGCTTCCCCCCAGCCTGATATGAATGCAGCTCGCTATAGTGTCCCGCCAGGTAAATACTTTGTTATATATCATAACGATATGTAGTCTTCCTTTGGAAGCTGGAGTTCTGTGACTTGATGGAGTATCAAATTATTCTCTAAACACTTTGTGAATTAACAAGAGAAGAAAGCAGATTGTTTTCTCTGTGTGCGTGTAAATAGGTGCTCAGTATTTTTCTAGCTCCAGTGAGGTGGTGTTCTTTATTGCTGCATGAGCTGCATAACATGTATTTTATTAAGCAAATAGAATGATCTGAAAAATATCAGAACAGTATAGGAACAAAGTCATCAACAGTTTTTTAGCTTTAATACAAGTACTGCCATATTCGTGCGTGACCTTTCTTATGAAGGGGGAGAAGTTGAGGAAAAGAGAAAGATGCTGCTATCCTTGGTATTAGTTTCTGACTGTAACTGCTTAATATTATAGTCTGAATGTTTTATAAAACAGTGCAATAACTGACAAATCTTAATTTGGAAAGCTGGATTACTGCTTTTCCCTTCAGAGTATAACATTATGCTAAGAAAAGACAGGGAAGCTTAGATTATACTTGACTCAGTTGCATTCCATTTAAAGTATAAGAACTTTCTTTAAAAACAGGCAAACAACAAAAAATTTGAATCTACCCTGGACTGCTATTTTTAAAAGCTTAATTTTCAGAGTCTGCAATTCTGCAGTGGAGCTTTTACCATTTCTTTTTGAACTTTGATGCAAGGTTAGATATTCTCCATTCGGTTTCTGTGCATAACGTACACTGGGACATAGTGAATTTCAGAGTTGTAAATACAGCTAGATAGCTTTTGGGTATTGTGAGACAGAAACTGTCAGATGAATTGTGCTATTTCTGTTCTTCTTGTCTCTCTAACAACTAGTCAGAGAGGTGAAACACACTGTAATGTTTAACATACAATTTTTCCCCCAAGTTCTCCAGCCAGCACCTCACCAAGTAATAACCAATATACCTGAAGGAGTCCGCCTTCCAACAACCAGACCCACCAGACCACCACCACCACTCATTCCATCCTCCAAAACAAGTGTGCCATCAGAAAAACCTTCCTTCATCATGGGAGGCTCAATCTCACAAGTAAGAGAATTATTATTTCAAAATCTGTGTTTACATCAAAAAATTGGCCTCTCACCAACCTTCAACATCTTGTACTCAGTTATGTGTGCACAGCATTAATGCTTAAGACTATACATGCCACCTCTAAAAGTCCAGGAATTACAGGTGCCTTAAGAAAATAGAACATGCTGCAGTTGTTTACATTTAGTATCACGGTTGAGGAAGTCCAGTTTAAGTGAATTGCATCTCCAAACAAACAGTGACGCTACACTCTGGTGTTCTGCACTTCCATACTTTGCAATGGTATACTGTAGCATTTTAAGATAGAATCACAGTAGTATTAGCATTCTCCTTTAAACATGGATGTGAATCTTCATTCCAGAAGCAAGAATTAACATGTGATATATTTGTTGTTTCAGGGAACACCTGGCACTTATTTAACATCCCATGGTCAAGCTTCTTACGCCCAAGAAACTGCAAAGCCATCAGTGGGTTCCATATCTCTTGGGCTGCCAAGGCAGCAGGAGTCAGCCAAATCTGGTAAGAAAAGAAAAGCTGTCATGTGTTTTATATAGCCTATTTAATGACTCATAATTAAAGAAAAAAAACCCAAACTTTTTCTTTTTTCTTCTGAATAGCTTCCCTGCCCTATATCAAACAAGAAGAATTCTCTCCCAGAAGTCAGAATTCCCAGCCTGAGGGACTCCTGGTCAGGGCACAACATGAAAGTGTGGTTCGAGGTAAAGAAAGTCATACAGATTAAGAAACTTTGACAGAGCCTGAGAAAACTGAGAGAATTAACTTCTAGAACTCATACTGCTGAAGTGTTATTTTTAAGTATTCTATGACTAATCTGCTCCCTGTTTTCTGAGGCATGTGTATCTGTAGCTAGCTCCTCCTGTCTGCATGTCTCATGTAAAAACATTTGATTCAAGGCATGCCAATTTCAAAATTAAGTTGTTCACTGGAGTATACACAGAGCAATACATGTGAAATATCCAAATACATCAAAAGAAAAGAAACTAAATACCATGGATTAATGCTGTAAGAGACTTTTAGTCTGTAAAAGACTATGGCAAAAGAGGAAGTAGTCTCACTGCCTCAAATGCATGCTGTAAAACTGAAATTTTTCCTGTATTTTAATGTAAAGTAACAGGTCTCACTAGAGTTTTTAATTATTTCAAATAGAGTAGCTACTTTTTTTTATTCTCTTATTTATCAGGATGCCTTCTTATTTCAAATCAGGTACTGCAACGATACAGGAGGGAAGTATAACGCGAGGAACTCCAACCAATAAAGTTTCTGTTGAAACCATTCCTTCTTTGAGAGGCTCCATAACTCAGGTATTTTTGCCCTTAGTGAGGGGGGAAATATGCAAAGCAGCGTATTTAAACTATCACCATGAATGTATTTGCATGTCTGAAAAAGTAAATTAATATCACAGAGTAGGAACTGCCTTGAAAAAAGAAATTCTAATACAGTCAGATGGTCAAATCACACTATTGCTGAAGTCAGCATTACCGTGATTTCATCTTCATGTTTATGAGTCTTTACACTTTTTAAATAAAACCACCAGAGCCTTTGGTATACCTAACTGAAGGCTTATTAGCAACTTCCATGAAAATAGCATCACACCTGAGTTCAAATATGAAAATCAACTGTAACCAGTCTTGTGCAGATGCTATTTCAAGCCAAAAAGTTAAATTAAGCCTTTTTGTCCCATAATTTTTTTAAATGGTACTGGTTTGGTTGATCTAGTATCTAGTTACAGAGAGCAATAGTAACAATTCTGCTCTGAGAGGGGTAGGTTTGATTACTTTGGACAGAAATAAAACTTAATGGCATCATTAAGTATGTAGTATGTTATCTTTCCTCAAAATGGTACTGGGTAAATGTTCTAGGCCATGAAATACTTTTGTAATATTGTACTCCCTAGTCTTCTTTCTGTATTTTTTTAACAAGGTAGCAAACTGCCTACAAATGATCTTACTAATATTTAGGTTAAATGTCTAATAATAGAGGCAGAAGTTTAAGCTATACTGCTTGATAAAGTAATTGGTTTTCCAGATCTAAAAATGTTGTGGGTTTCCTCCCCCTCCCCCCCCCCCTTACCACTTCCTGTTCTTTTAAATAAGTACACATGTTCTGAATTATATTTAATTGATTTAAATGCAGGGTACGCCAGCTCTGTCCCAGTCTGGCATAGCAGCTGATGCGTTATTGAAGGGAACTATCACCCGGCTAGCTACAGAAGACAGCAGCCCAGAAAAGTGCCGAGAGGAAGCTTCAGCCAAAGGCCATGTTATTTATGAAGGCAAAAGTGGGCATATTTTATCTTATGATAGTGAGTATTTGTATATTCTGCCTGATCAAAGTCAAGGCTGCAGCAGATTCTGCTTTTATAATCTATAGCTGAAGTATATCTGCTTCCAAGTGGTTAGGTATAAACCTCAGTCACTGGGGTGTCATCTGGGAGAAGTATTGACCTGCGTGTGTTCTTGAGGGTAGGAGAATTAAAGTGATACAGAAATTGTGCCTGTGTTCTGAAGAGTCTTCTGTCCTATGTACTTAAAATATATTTAAACTATTTAGTTTCTGTGCCATTTATTTCCGATTTGTCATGGAATATTTTTATTTTGAAAGATTAAACAACCAAATTTAAAATTATCTATATTAAAATAAAAAAAATTACCATTTGACTTTAAACTTCAGTTGAAATACTGATGAGTAACTGTTTGAACAAATATATTTTTAACAAATGATAAAAGATCTTTTTAAGGTTGAGATTTAATGTTATGATATTATATTGAAGTTGCGTTGTTAAAGTATTAATGACCTGTGGTCTCATTAAATGTAATGGTCATGTGTCTTTTTTTTTTTTTTTTTACTGTCCACATTTCCTAACCACACTCTTATAAATTTTGCCAGCAATTAAAAATGTTCGTGAAGGAACAAGGAGTCCGAGAACTGCTCATGAAATTAGTTTAAAGAGAAGCTACGATACAATGGAAGGAAATATAAAGCAAGGAATGTCAATGCGGGAGTCTCCAGTGTCTGCACCACTGGAAGGTAAATACAGCTGCTTCCACGGTGTTATTTCTAAACCACACTCTTATAAATTTTGCCAGCAATTAAAAATGTTCGTGAAGGAACAAGGAGTCCGAGAACTGCTCATGAAATTAGTTTAAAGAGAAGCTACGATACAATGGAAGGAAATATAAAGCAAGGAATGTCAATGCGGGAGTCTCCAGTGTCTGCACCACTGGAAGGTAAATACAGCTGCTTCCACGGTGTTTTGTGTTCTATCCAAACCCTTTGCATTGATGGGGGTTGGACTAGATGACCTTTAAGGGTCCCTTCCAACCCAAAACATTCTATGATTTTATGTAAGAGCATTTAGAGTTATTTTATGGAGCAAACTAAAAGAGAAATTAGATTACATCTTATACTACCCACCAAATCTTACTCTACTAACCAACCACTACAATTAAAGCAAGCTGGAAATATCAAACCCTTTGCATTGATGGGGCTTGGACTAGATGACCTCTAAGGGTCCCTTCCAACCCAAAACATTCTATGATTTTATGTAAGAGCATTTAGAGTTATTTTATGGAGCAAACTAAAAGAGAAATTAGATTACATCTTACACTACCCACCAAATCTTACTCTACTAACCAACCACTACAATTAAAGCAAGCTGGAAATACGACTGGAGTGGATACTAGTTTTCCTTTTTGTTTTGCTGGTGTGTTACCATAACTGCAGGTAGTTCAGCTAGCTCTGAACTCCTTTCAGTAGATCTGACACGTGTAATTGACTCTTCACAGTCCGAGCAGGTTGTCCCAGAGCTGAAACAACACTGAGTCATACCAGCATGGACTCCATGGGCACACCCGTTCAGTTAAATATTGGTCTCAGCCATGGCATAATAACTTGGTAACACATTGGTGTGACCTTTT